CAATGGAGCGCACCGCATCTTTGGAAACTCGACTACATGTATCTGACTTGGGGCTGCGGTCAATCTCGGCGGGAGAACTCGAGTTTTCCAAGTTACTCGATACGGTACTGCAAACGCGGACAGAATCTTATCACTAGTTCTCAATCTCTTTGTCTCCCCCCACTACTACCCGCAGCATCTCACCACATTTGCAGAGTCCCAGTACCTATCACTAATCACTAAAACCCCTTCACCAAAGTCCAAATCCCGAGTGATAGGACATGAAGTTTAGAGTAGGAGTTAGACAGAATGGTTGCCATGCGGAAATCTCAAACAAATTGGTTGTCTTGTGGTGTTGGGTGTATTAACCAATTTTAGTCGACTGCCTTCGACAGCCGTCGGACGGCGCTCGTCGTCCTTGTCGCCCCATCCGGCCGTCATCGGATGGCTGGTGCTTGGAGGAAGAGAGACGGACTCGCTACTTGGGATCACTGCAAGCCACAACCTTGACACCAATTGCAGCCATGTATCTATCCACTAACTCACATCTCACTTCCTTAAGCCGCTTAGTCAACCTCTCCTTTGCTAATTGATAAACGTTTTCTTTTTCCTTCTCTTTCCCACTCTCCATTTTTCCTCTACCCTCCCTCATCCCCCCATCTATTCTTCTGCATGATTCTTCTGCATTGATCCCTCACCATTGATTCTTCCTTATTAATTCTTCCCTATTAATTCTTCTCCATTGATTTCTCCGCATCGATTCTTCCCCATCGATTCTCCTAATAACTTTCATCAAATCCCCGTCACTTTTTACCGGGGCACCAGACATCTTTATCTACTACCAAAACCACTCTGATAAGCACTTTAACGCGAGGGCATTTTGTCAGCAAAAGTACTGTAAGCCCTCATACTAGATGAAATTTTATTAATTCAATTTTGCAGAATTCTTAGTACTTACAAAGCAATATCATATTACAGACGCTTGCCGGAATCATATCCTGCGAGGTTCAAGGCAGTAGTAATGCCGGGAAAGACTGTGAAGCGGTTGCCGAACGCTTGACCAAGGCCATCCCAAAGATATCACCAGTTCAAGTCGGGTCATCTAGCAGTCCTGAAATAGTTTATTCCAATGATGCCGGCTACAGGATCCTAAATAGGCTACGGCGAATGGAGGAAAAGATTACAATACTCAGTCCGCTTCAGGAAACCGCAGTTGGAATCAGAAAGCGATTTTTTGCAACATCACAAAGGAGGGCGGCAATGGAGGGAGTCGGCATTGGGGCATCTCTTCGAGAGGGAAATGATATTGCGCACTGTAGTGATGTGGTTACCGATATCTGCCTTTTGAAAAATGGCTTGATAGAGTATCACCAAACCTTCACCTATTTGTACGGCTTGGACTGGCGAGCTGCCAATGAGCTACTGTAAAAACTCGTTAAATCAGCTATCAGGATCGAGACTCGACATTTCGCAATCCAAAACAAAACACCTGGAAAAGCTATAGTGTTTTCTAGACAGGGTATAGCCTGGAGAGGCTGAGCTTGTTGGATCTCATTATTTGGTATTCATTATTTCGTTAACCTACCGTACTCTTCAAAGCCCACTATGGTTTAGCACAGCGATCCAGCTGAGATCCACGATAGCTGATTTAACGAGTTTTTACGGTAATTGGTAAGCCGATAAATTGTTTCTACATACCCCAGTGTAGAATAATTGCTAACAGTCATGGTATTACCGAGATAGTTCTTAAGTTTTGTAAGTTCCACAAGTTGAGGTGTGCTAGTACTCGTAGCAGGGGGTCAGAGCAGCACACCTAGCTTGTGGAACCTGCAAAATTTAGGGTCTGTACCATTGTATCCTATAGGGCATCCTCATATCGTTTCTGCAATGGACCACCGCGCAAGCATCCTGCATGATAAACTCACTGGCAGTTGGACGGGGCAAGATGAGCTTGATTGTGTAATTACATGGAGACGGGCAGCCTACAGATAAGATTGGTGTGACAGTTGCTAAACGCAAGTTTCACCGCCTAATGGCAAGCAAATCATGAGTGTTCTTGGTTCTGATGTGGCGGCCTGTGGGCTTTTTTTGTCGCCGTAAGGGAATCAAGGGGTCCGCTTTTGTTTTCTGTTTTCTGGTATATTCAAGTTCTGGGTTTTTGAGATGCCGTTTTGTTGTTTTTTCAACCTACTAAGAATAGTGTTGTTTCTGTTGTGCCTGCAGACATTACTAGCCTCACATTACGCTCAATATTTGCCTAGTATTTACTTTCCCAACCCTGGTTTGACGTTCACCAACTTCTACGGAAGCGTCCTTCAAGTGCCCAAGGTAACCTCACCCTGGCAAAACTGCCAAACGATAGCAACACCGAGAAGAAGAATAAATAATACAAGTGAGATTCTTGAGTAACTACCCATGAACGCACTCTCCCAACACATGCCTCCACTATCAATCAACCCTTAACAATTCTTCTAAAACTCCACCAATCTCCCCTCCACCATGCAGAGGCGCTCTACTTATGTCAAGGTTGTGGCCCAACATGACTTCGCGGCTAGGTGTCAGTTCTATTCTATCCCGCTCTACAAATGTTTCTACTCTAAAAATGGTCATCAAACAAAAGGAAATATGGTCATTTTGTATCAAGCAGCAGATTAATGTACTCGAGTACAGTACTTTTAAGGGTGGAGTAGGGCCAATAACGCAGAGAAGTTAAACTATCGAAAATGGAATGGGAAAGGCAAACTGCCGCAAAAGAGCACAAGTATCATACTCATTGCGCCATTCTAGGCCACCGACACCCCAAACATCATCCGACTTCCTGTTGTCCGCCAAGGCCTTTTCGTGCCAAAACTCTTCGCTCTCTACTTCAAACCGGTAAGCTGATCTCCGGTTCCGATTTTTTTCCCTCCCTACGGTACCCGAGTCCTCGAGGAAGAAAGCCAAAGTGGCCAAGCCGGAACTTCCCCGAGAACACCCAACTCCAAAACTGAATCACCACGAGGGAATTTTTCTCCTCATTCGCCGACTCAGGAGAGGGGGGGTTGTATTGGGCATTTTATTCTTCCGCGATGGGGATATCGCCGGATGGGGTGGGGGTTTCGAGTGAGTCTCTGTGAAGCACGGAGATTTGTGCTGTGTTGTCTGTTGTTGGCGCACGGCACGAAGTGCGTGCGGTGCAGGGCGGTACAAAAGAGGTGATGGCGAGTATCCTGGGACGCCGTCTTTAACGGCCCGAGGACTTTCAATGGTGCTGTTTGCAGTAGTCTAAATTTTTTTTATTTCCTTATCCCCGAGTTTCCGATGGTGTGGTGGGGTGGTGGGGGCGGTGCGTTTCTTACTTCAATTTTATGCTCGTTTAGATTATGACGTACAAACTTTATTCTCTTTTGGGTGCCTGCCCGTAAGGAACGAGTATCGTGCATATGCTTGCGGCGCTGTACATTCCCGTGGAGAAAAATTGTGGGTAGGAAGGGTCGTTTCCGCAGACACGATGAGAGTGAGGTGGATTGGATGTTTCTCGTTTTTGTGGCGACGGCGGCAGGGGTGGTGGATGGTGGTGTTGCAGTGTCGTAATTTTCTACTTTTTACCCCTTTATTCTGATTCAATGTTTACCGTGATTCATTATGCTCCACTGGGACGGCACTCTCCTCCACCTGGGCTTACTTGGCTCATTCCGATGTCACCCAGAGCCCCTCTTTCTCTATCCAAGACAGATTGGCAGAATTTGATGGGCGTTTGACTTTTTAAAGTGACTTTGGCGACGAGGAGGGGGATTTGCCGTGCTCGAGTATCATGCGTGTTGTGGAGTAGAGGACTAACGCGCCCACGTCGGCTCACGTTGCGTTGCCTCTTGAGAGGGTTAAAGTGGTTGAGCTAAACCTTTTTGACAAACCCCTGGCAACGAGAACTCTGGAGCGGTTTCTCGTTTCCGAGATGATACCGCAGCTCTCTGATGGCAGCGGTGGAATAATCATATGTCGGGCTCGCAACTGCCTTCCTGGTCGTTGGTTAAGCCTGTTGTGGTCGGGGTATCATAGCAAATCCCTCGTGGATGCGGGCTGGTGGATATTCTTGTCTATGCAAGTTGCTGTGCTTGTTTATTTGCTGCATTGGAATGGCGGTGAGCGGGCAGCAGGTTGTATCATAGGGTGAAAACGAGATGGAATTTTCAGAGGCCCTATGGTACCGTTACCCGTACTGTAACTGGAGGTATCATAGCTCCTCTTTGGTGGCCGATATTCGCAGTGTCATAATATCATATTATTATCATACATGATATTGAGGTCCAGCCCCCCCCTTTTCTCCTTGTATTTTGAATTTGCCTTTATTTCTCGAGCCCTGCGTCTTGTTTTTTTTCTCTCCTCCCCCTGCTCCTCCCGCCGGGTTGTCAGACAACCCCCCCCCTCCCTCCAATTTTGCCTTTCAGGGACACCATAAGACTGCATTTTTCTGCGGTGGACTCTATTGTTTCTCCTTCCGACTGCCTGTCGTGCCCCCCCGACCTCACTTGCTCGTCCCCAGACCGGTACCCCCCCCTCCTTGTCTCGTCTCCCTTTACTCCACTGGCTGGTTAGGCAGCCCGCCCGACTGCCCGTTCGAACTAATCCCTTTATGTTTGTGGGGCAAATTCTTCTCATTTTCTCACCTTCAATTTTTGGCCGATTTCGCTCTTCGCCCTTCGAAATACTTCCTTCCTTCCTTCCTTCCTTAACAATAATATACCACCTCGAGTGAGAAGTCGGGAGGACCGGATAACATTAGGCAGACGAAATTAATTAACTTATATTAATTTTCTTTCTCCTGGCGTTGACCTATAAGGCTCGAGTTCATCTAATCTTTGCTGGTCTACTGTCCTATCCCCAGGCATCATCATCAGTCGAAGCTACCCTAGTAACTTTGCTCCCCCATCCACCTCTCCCGTAAACGAACTCATCTAGACTACCCCCTCCACCCCACATCGCGCTCATCGTTGTATTTACTACGAAGCATCAATCCCACAAAAAATAGAGATCCATCCAAAATGTCTACAACATCGTCGTCACAAGTTGCAGCTCCCACATCTCCCCCGCGCCCTGGGCGTCTACGGGGTCTCTCGTACCTTCGTCATTACGCACATGGACACGCCCACTCTCCTTCACAGGCGGCTCCGACTGTTGTTACGGCTGCTAATGTCAACTCGAGCAACGGGAATGCCACCACCTCTTCTCCATCTCTAACCCAGCAACCTACATCACCGCCAACTACAACAGCTGCTCGAGCTCGGTCAACTTCCCCGCTGAACAACACGGCGTCGAACGCGTGGCTACCCACGGTCAGCGGGGTCAGCGGCTTATCCCGTGTGGCTTCGCAACCTTCTGCGGAGCTATCTACATCCACTGGGGTTGTCACTTCAAATGGTGCGTCCAATGTTCGTTCAGTTTCCAATTCAGCTCCCGCCGTGCGCTCCATTGATGAAGCTCTGTCTACTTCTCCAGATGCTGGCCCACCTACACATCAACCGAACAACTCTCCCTTGGTTCGTTCACCAAGCAACACTTCTCGTGTCCCCCAGCCTTCTGATCCAGCTGCTTCGATACGATTCATTCCCCATGTCGACACGCGCGCCACCCGTGAGTCATTGATTTTTACACCCATTGAGCGTATATTACGGTTCAAAGATGAGCACATCAGGGTCGGTCGGTACAGTGATCGTGACCAAGCAAACCCATCCGCCCCAGTGGGGTTCAAATCAAAGGTAGTTTCACGTCGACATTGTGAATTCTGGTGCGACAACGGCCAGTGGTACATTAAGGATGTAAAGAGTTCCAGCGGTACTTTCCTGAACCACATAAGGTTATCAGCGCCTGGTGTGGAGAGTAGGGCGTATCCACTGTACGATGGGGATATCTTGCAGCTTGGAATTGACTTCAAAGGCGGGGAAGAGCAAATATTCCGGTGTGTGAAGATTAGGGTCGAGTTGAATAGAGCCTGGCAGAAGGCGCTTAATAAATTCAAGTATATACTCGATCCTCACTTGTACAGCTGGATGAATGTATATTGACAAATTTGTGTGTAGTATGTCTGCCCATCGGCGGATACGCAACTTGGCAAAGACCAACCCCAGTGGCAACAAGGCTATAGACGGGGATACTTCGTCTACTCATACCTCCGAATGCTCGATTTGTCTGATGCCAGTTGCAGTACGCATTCCCCCTATCATGCCTCACTTCCACCCTTTGGGTGGGGGCGCTGACTGATGAAATTGCATATGTTAAAATTTATCAGGAAAAATAACAATAATACTAACTCTCTACTAGCCCTGTCAATCACTTTTCGTTGCGCCGTGTTCTCATGTATGGCATTATAAATGCATCCGACCTCTTGTCGAAAAGGAATATCCGACCTTTCTTTGTCCGAACTGCAGGGCTATCGCTGATCTGGAGAAAGATATTGAAGATGATGATCTCGTGGAGGAACTATGGGAGTCAATGGCGGATGTGATGGATCGATTTGCGGACGAGCAGACAGGGAGAATTACGGACGCCCTAGAATCTATGCAGCCAGATTCAGGGGAAGGGGATGCCCCGCCTATAGAGAGTACACAGGATGGAAATGTTGTAGAGAGCCAGGAACCTGAGCCAGCCGGTAGCGATGCCCCCGCACCCGCAGCGCTTCCCTCCGGGTCAACCAGCACCCCCACTATTCACCCCGTTCCAGAGACTGCCACACCCCCGATCGAGATTCAACAGACACCGAGCGGCTCTTGGAGAAGGCGCGGAGAACGGGTCACGGACCTTGACCTCCGTCGGGACAGTGAACCCCACACCCCTGAGCCTGACAAGAACGGTAGTGGTAGCACAAGCAATGGGAACGGCAGCAGCGGAGAAGGCGGTCAGGAAGGGCCAATGACGCCAATGAATGATGCTGGTCCGTTTGTCTTTGACGGCGGCGCGATGGACAGTGCAGCGGCTGCTGTCTCACCGACCGCGACCAATCCCCCAAATTCTCTCGACGACATCAACAACTCGGATTGGAGATCCGCTATACCAAATTAATGCCCATACTATTTACAGGCTGCTTGCTAAGACCATGCAATCCTGGTCCCCCCAAAGGCCTACCGAAAATAACCAACGAACATACAAACAAAAGACGAGCGAACACCTTAAAAAAACGAAACGAGACGAGAAATGCCTGAAATGTATTATGACAGATCTACCAACTTGCACTAGCGAGCGAAACGAGACAATGCATTGGAAATTAATAAAGAGCTGGAGGGATGAGGGTAGCAAATGGACTTGGTTGCATCATCATCATTCACAGTGGGGGGCGCGGTACTTTCTCATGACTTCTTTTTTTCAATACTTTTCTACGCTACATTACTTTACTGTTCTTTATTTTATTTTATTTTATCTTTCGTTTCTTCACCTTCCCTCCTCTTTCTTTTCTTCGCATTCATCGAGTCCTTAATGGAGTTTTTTTGCCGAAGTATTTTAGGGTTGGTGGGCTTGATTGATTCATGATTGATTGGCTATGATTACACGAATGTTATGGGATAGGCAATTGCTTGCCTACCTAGTTGTAAGAGAGGGAAGAATGAGAGGAGGGTCTTTGTAATTAGGAGGTCTCTTTTCCTTCTTAGCAGTTTTAACGATAAGGTTTCGCGCTGAGTGGAGTGGAGTTGGTGGTGGTGGAGTTTGGGAGGGAAATTCGCCAAGATCAAGTGGACGAAGCGAAAGCAACAGTATGATAATTAGGACGTTGACTGATTTACTGATAACACCAGCATCGTAATACCGGTAGCCTACAGTACGAGTACAAGTACCGTACTTATGAGTAAATTCTATGATAATATTATACCCGCAACATGGCCATCATAATATTATCGCATGATTCACCGGCTTGACGCCATTGCATCGAACCCAAAAAAAAACTTTGAACGAGATGGGGATAGTCTACTACCGATTTTCACAAGTATCCGGATGTCTTGGCGCTAAGATATTTTGCCAGAATTAAGAATGTGACGGTGATGATAACATTGAAACCATTAACTATCCATGAAATTTATTCCCTCAGTTTTGGCTAATAAATTGAGCTAGAATAATGGGTAGTTTATTGTGAGGCGGAGACAACCTGATAGATTACAGAGTTGTCTAGGCCAATCAAGATTTGTTTCTGTAGATGGAGATTGTCTAGAAAGGCTCAGATTACACTCGTTTCATTTATGACTACTAAGAGCGAAGTAAAGTAGGTAAAGTAGAATAGAATTGTGAAAACAATATTATATTGTTAAGGTCTCTTCTCCATTGCTTGATAATGTCTAAAAGCTTGGGAGGCACTTCAATATTTATATTCCACATCTGAGTGTTTGCAGACTATATCTATTTATTATACAACTGTATACCTCTCTGATTATAACTTGTGATGTTGGGTATTCTTCAAGGTGCGAACACCCAGAGACCTGGAAAATCAACATATCCTCTTTGGTAATTGCAATATAGCTAACTGAGAATCATGCTGTTCCCAATAGTAATTAACCGATTGTCAGAGTCTTTAGATTTATGGCCTAGTTCTCAAGTTGAACTTAGTTGGTCCCAATTGTCTCTATCATTGATGAAATAATTAGTTTCATCTGCGGGTTGTATCTGTGAAGATAGCCATAATCACAACTCTTCAAGGTCGCCTGACTTGAAACCTTCATAACTTCCTACCCAACTGACAGATATTTTCTGGAAGACTTCCTACTAGTTTGCAGGAAGCTATTACGAACGTGGCTTGGCACGGAAAAGGTTTTCACGTGACACATGGTTATGAGTCACCGGTATGTTATTGTTTCGCACATATGACTCATTCGGGTTATATGGTTTGTTATGTGTGGGATTTGTGATGCTTTCGCACATGGCTCAAATATGAGTCATGGGAAGTACGCCTGACGAGTATGCCTTGCGAGTGTGCCTTGCGGGTAAGCCTTGCGCATATGATTTATGTTTTGCACATGACCTCATTATGAGGTCATGGGTTTCGCGCATATGACTCGTTTATTGCGTTATGATTGATTTATGAGTTTTTGCACATGACCTCGCTATGAGGTCATGGGTTTTAAGCATGTGATCACTTTGGTCACATGACTAGTTTGTTATGATTTGGTTTCGCACATGTGACCACTTTAGGTCACATGACTATGGGCGAGAAGAATACTATATAAGGAGGCCGATGCGGCCGTGGAAGATAGATTCTTCATGCTTTGTTCTAAGTACTTTTCCTACTAATTACTTTAGCAAATATAAAACACCTTTATGATCTTTATCTTTACTGCAACGTTATTGTTACGTCAAGGAAGGTTCTTCACGAAGACGAGTTAGAGAAAGCTTACGATAGGCGTTCCCGATAGAAGACAAAGGTCTTGTACTATTGGTAACATAGGCAGAGGCCTAGAGCTATTGTAAGACAAAGAAAGAAGAAGACAGAAACGAGAAGTATCGTTCCCCGTCGCCAAGAACTAACTATCCAAAGAGGTATCGTTACATTACAAAGCGTCACCTAGTGTGACGCCAAACGATACAAGACGGCATCCTTCAACCCAGACAGGGAAGGAGATATAGACATCGACGATCAAAACCTTAACTTAGGAGGATTCAGCGACACTCTAGATCACATCTTAGCAGACTCCTCGACAGCAGCAAGCCCCGTAACTCTAGAGAAAGGATCACGAGTTGATAGCTCTCCTGCAGGAACTCCACGACCCGAGAGAATATCGGGATCATCGGTACCTGGGCCACCAGCCCGAGCCACTCCGGCACCAGGAACTAGCATACTTGGAATGACTGAAAATCAGTTTCAGGCATTTCTCGCAGCAACACGAAATACAGGACAAGGAAATGTCCAACGACTGAAAGCAAAGGAACCTGACACATACGAAGGAGCTGAAGACAAACTACGAATATTCGTAGCACAGTGTGAAGGATATTTTGCCGTCAAGGGAGAAGGAGATCACCATGACGAAATCAAGATTCCATATGTAGAATCTCTACTCAGAGGACTTGCGGGACAATGGATCATGCCTTTCCAAGATGGAAGAAAGCAAAGGGAATGAGTCACATACGAAGAGTTCAAGGTGACACTCTTCGAACAATTTGGAGATCCTAACGCTAAAGTAATAGTGAGACGAAAGCTGGAAAAGCTCCAACAAGGAAAACAAACATTCTCAGCATACTGGAACGAATGCCGACTATTGGAATACGAGGCCGAGTTTGATGATGCTACTCTCTACATCATCCTCCTGAGAAACTGTAGCGAGAGACTCCGAGAGGTATGGGGAATCTCCGACCTACGCTATACAACAGCAGAACAATTTGCAAGATGGGCGATCGATAAGGAAAGCAAACTAAACAAGGTTTGAAGCAACTCGGAAAACACTATAGCACACAGGGCGGTCCAATCATCCAGAAATGGAGAGGGAACCTTCAAACCGCAAGCAGCTCGAGGAGAAAGTCGAGCATTACCACCAGGCAAGCCAATGGAGTTAGACAAATCGAGAGCAGGACCTGCTCTGAACCTGTCTAAGGAAGAATACGCCAGAAGAATGAATGGGAAACTCTGCCTAAGGTGCGGAAAAGCAGGACATCGGATATGAGAATGCAAAAGTCGACATGACAGCGAATACCAAGGAACCAGAGCTGCTGGAAATAATCGTTTCCAAAATCAAAAAAGGAGCAACATTCATGAAATGATCGCAGAAGATTTGCCGGCGGAAAATGACGAGGGTCCCCAGTCAATGGTGGTCTGGGAGACCCAAGATGTGGATCTGGAAAACCCATCAAGTTATCAAACTAATACACGGCACTACATACACGAAGAGGAGAAGAAGATAGAGATCATGTGATGATCAAAACAAAGATATACAACAAAGAAAAAGAAACAAAAATATATGCAATGCTCGACTCTGGGGCTACCGAAGACTTCATCGACAAAGAAATCTGCGACAAATACGGCCTCCACACCCAACAAGCAAAGAAAGCAAGACAAGTCTACCTAGCAGATGGAAAGCCAAGGGCTATGGGTCCGATAATCCATACAGTGACAGTACCTATGGACATTAACAGCCATAGGGAAACGGCAACCTTTCAGGTGGTAGATCTTAAAAACCATGAGATGGTCCTAGGGATGCCATGGTTACGAAAGCATAATCCGACGATCGATTGGAACGAGAACAAGATGACCTTTACAAGCGAACTATGTGCGACATAATGTCTCAACAGTTCACCTGCTGTTTACTCGACACCGATAAGAGAAACAGAAGAACAAACTTTGCATGCAAAGTTCACTGAGATGCGGTAAGATAAAAGAGTCCGGATACAAAGACTGGACCAAGAGGCAAGAATTCCTACCAAGGGTTCCAAAGGGGCAGCAGGACACGACCTGTATGCCAATGAAGGAACCAAGATACCTGCCAACGGACAGGCAATGATAGCAACAGGAATAGCCATCGGACTACCGGAAGGCACCTATGGACGAATAGCACTCTACGGTGGTCTAGCAGTCAAACATCGACACATGACTATGATCGGAGTAATCGACGTCAACTATACCGGTAAAATCAAAGTGATCCTGACCAACCTAGCTCAAGAAGACTACGAAATCCAAAAAGGCAATCGAATCGCACAGTTGATAATTGAAAAAATCAACAATGAAGATCTGCACAAAGTAGATCAACTGAAAGAAACCACAAGAGGAGAAATGGGATTTGGAAGCACAGACCAAAACCAGCCCGATATAGCAAAAAGAATCGAGATCAAAGAGATCACAGCACAAGCCTTTGGAAGGTACTATCGGAGAGGAGATACAACAGGAATTCTCAAATGGACATATGAAGACGAAAAAGTAGTCCTAGCAAAAATCAATATCAGCACAGGGCTAGCAATCCAGGATAAGAAATATCAAAGAAAAAAGAGATGGAGAGAATTGGTTCCAAGGGAATATCATCAATTCACGAACCTGTTCCAAGAAGAAGAAGCCACTGAGCTACCACCTCGAAGACCAGGAATCGATTACGGAATTCAGTGGGACAAAGATGAAAAAACGGGAAAAACAAAAGAAATTCTCTACAAGAAGTTATATCCACTAGGAGAAGCAGAGCTTAAAGAACTCAGAAAGTACATCGAGCAGAACTTAATGCGAGAATGGATCAGGGACTCTTTCGCGTTAGGAGGATCCCCAATACTATTCGTCAAAAAGAAAGACGGAAAAATGAGACTCTGCGTAGACTACAGAGCTCTCAATTTGGTTACCAAGAAAGACTGATATCCACTACCCCTGATTGGAGAAGCACTGGATAGACTGGAGTCAGCAAAATACTTCACCAAACTCGACATCAAGGATGCATACCATAATATACGCATCAAGGGAGGAGACGAATGGAAGACTACATTCGCCTCAAGATACAGAATGTTTGAATACCTGCTTATGCCCTTTGGGCTAACTAATGCACTGGCTTCATTTCAGAGATGGATCAACAAGGTACTCAATAAGTACCTCGACATATGTTGCATCGTATACTTAAACGATGTACTCATATACTCGGAAAACATACAGCAACACCAAAAGGATATCAGCAATATCATGGCAGCAATACAAGGAT